CCTTGTATCTACCTATGGATAATTCTACACTCCGTGGTAGTGTTTCTATCACTCTAGTTTGCCCGTTTGACAATTCAAGTTCTTCACTCACGTCATTCATCAACATCAAACCTAACTTCATAGCAACACTCCTTGATAGAAAATTCTTTGTTGCTCAAGGATCAATTAAAATTCTCACCCTGTGTACTTCCATGAAACCATCAGTGACAATGAGTTGAGCTTGCTTCTTACCCCTTCCATGAGCTCCCAACCATTGCCTTCTTCCAACCTCGCCTTTTCTTCGCTTTGTAGATACAGTGCGGCCGCGAGGCAAGATTATTGGTGATCTTCGTTTCCCGAAACTGCTTCCTCCACCTCTTCATACTCTATCCCCTTCATATTGTTGAACGGTTGTCGCTGCATGGGTTGTCCTCCTTGTTGTGTTGTCCGAACTCGACAAAACTTGGCAATGTGACCCATTCGTCCACATGCATAGCATTGACGATTGTCGCGAACTCCAACTCCTACTCGAACCATTCCGTTATTTGCATAACCTTCTTGCAAATTTGGAACTTTTGGTCTCCAAATCTCACCTCCAAATCTTGGTGATGGTCCTCTTGTTGGTGCAAAACCTTCTCTACGTCGAAGGTTTCCCAACTCCATCGGTGTTGGACCGGATGGATCTCAAAAATTGCTCACTGGTTCACCGTGTGTGACACCAAAAGCACCCGAAATTCGTTGAGCAATTGCGATTGCTTCATTCACAGTAGATGGATTGCTTACCATCACCTCCTTTCGAATTGGATCATTCAAGCCTTGTTTGAACACGTCCAAGGCTTCAGCTCCACTCATATCCATGATAGATATTTGAAGATCAAAAAATTCTTCAATGTACTCATGAAGACCTCCTTTCTGCTTCAGATCCCACAACTTCATTCTTGCAGTTTGAAGAGAATCCACCGCTTGAAAATTTTGCAGAATTCCTTCATGCATTCCACTCCACGAAATGGTAGCACCTCTCCCATGTTGTGTACCATGTGAGAGCCTTATCCGTAAGATAAGATCTCATGAACATTCTTACAATATAATCAGAAACATGAAAATGGGATGAATGAATATTCATCCTCATAATCCATCCCTCTAACACTTCCATTGTTCTACTCCCTTTGTAAGTTTCCAACTTACAGGATTTTTCCATTCGAAGTAAAAGATTTGCTTGATCTTCAATCTCTTGAAGACGCCTCCTATTTGCCTCTGCTGCATCAATAGGATTTGGTTCTGGCTAAACTTGGGAAGCTTGAACTTGAGGTTCAACTTCCATCTCTCCAACTCTCTCTCTACTTTCTCACTCTCCAATGCGAAGATTTTATCTTCCATGGCTTGCTGCTTGGTATGCCCATCTACTATCGCTTTTCTCAACTCTTTCATCTCCGCCATGATTGCATTGAGAACCTCACCCCTATCAATTGATGTCCCCATGCTTTCTCACACTCTCTCTAATGCAAAGTGAATATAATCACTATGTGACCTCTCAACAAAAGAGTCACAAAAGGTGTAGGTGACTCTATCACAGCTCTATAGTACTCCTCTCCATAATTCCTCACAAGAAAATTTCTCCATATCCTCTTCTGTCTGTATACTGTTCTAATCTTTACATAAGTACTGAATCGAACCGGGACAGGTGGTTCGTGATTCAAATCCATGAAACCTTTAGTATAGAATATATATAGTACAATTCCAATGCTCTCCATAAGTAACTATTGGAAGAATCAGTGGCACTCTCGACTCCATCACTCTAGTCATAAAATCTGCACCCCAACAAACCACCAGGTACATTCGAAAATGATGTTTCTCCATGCAACGAAGATGAATATTGAATAGGTTAGGAATTGGCCAGTGCGGTACTGGATTCCTGTCAATCCCGTCCATATCTGCAAAACCACAATTTTTTCCTTCCACCTCTCTCTACATGCAGATGAATGAACTATGCCAGCCTCTATACACTCTCAAGACTACACTCCATCATCATTCACTTGCTATTCCATGAGGGGTAATCCACACTCAAGGAAAGAGCAAGGTCGCTTTGATACCATTGTAACACTAGGGTTTAGAGAGAAGCTCACTTGAAGATAGAAATGTAAACTCTTAAGATGAGAGATAGCAACAATGGTTCTCCTCTCCCTTATATAGCTCTCAACAACAAGTACAAGGAGATAAGATCTAATCTCCACGATCCATCCCACTCATAGTGGATGGATGACGTGGCGGATAACCCTAAGAAGCACACGGATCGTTGACGTGGCGCATCCAACTAACACACTCAATCTTTACCTACAAGCACACGGATTGCTGACGTGGCACTGTCAACTAACACATCCACTCTGTAACTATCAAGTGCGCGGATCGCTGACGTGGCAGCAATGACAAGTGCACACTAAAGTATCTACATCAATATTTAGAGTAACCTCTACTTTAGTTCTAACTAACTAAAGATGGTTACACACATGCTATTGAATGACATCGCAATGAACAAACCACACCCTTGAACAAAGTGCACAATAAAATTCTTTGCAATCTTGTAAAAACTGTTACAATATCAGATATCTTCATTTTGTTCCTGAAGTAATAATTCGGAAAGTGTGCTTTCCATTCTTGTCACATGCAAAAGACATGAAATAAATATTGAAAAAGAAAATTACTTTTATGTGACTAGCAACATAAAATGCTATAAGGTTTTAAACAGAATGTTGATCTCTGTAACTATTGAGATCAATGAAAATAAAACAATCCATCACATGACAGTTGGTTTCGAATCAAAAATTTTCTGGTTTATGTATTCAACAATACGACAACAATGAGTTGAAAACCAAGTTAATACTTTCTCCAATGATAACCAGCGAGTCGTAGCGATATTTGAACATTTAAATCGCATTTTGCTGATCAAATTCTGTTGTCGACAAAGGTATCCAATGGTGACAGTTAACGTCGAATAAATTTTGTTGTTGTGATATACTAAAATAACAGTTTGAATAACAAGATCCAGTTGGTGTGCACCACACCAGAATCGAATCAAATAACAATTTTCTTGTTCAACTCGAGTAGGAACACGAGTCACTATTTCACGTACTCGATCTATCATATTCCTAGCATCATCAGGCATGTCAATAAGAGTGTTTTACCCCAAGATGTACAAATTGCATCCATAGTTTTCTCGAACGTCTCGAACAAATTGTCACCTCTGTGTCGCCTATAAAGAGAAAGAAAACATAAATGAAAACAATACAGTCCAGTTCCCACAACAAATCTCACTATAATGTCAAAATACGAGGTGCTCTCAATAGTCAATGAATCAAATGCGACAAAAAAAGCCCAACAATCAACGAGTAATTTGTTGAGTTTTTGAAGTCAAACAGCACCAGCAATCTAAACAAACGATGATACTTTTGCCTCATTGCGTTCGCGAAAATAATCAAGAGTTATTTCTTCACGTGCATACTCCATTTTACGTGTTATTAACCTGAACGACGAGCCAATACCAACCATCCCAATAACAAACTTGAAAAGCTTGATGATCTTGATATGAACTTGATACCCTACACTGTCTGATTTGATTGGCTCTAAAATCTCAACGCCCGATCAAATACAAACATACTCAGCTTCAAGATTAAATAGAAGTAGAATCAAAGAAATTTTGCTTCGTGTCTACTTACAAACAACGATATTCACTTACTTTTTCAAGTGTTGGTTTTCGAGATGCTGTGAATATAGTTCTGGTCGAAATGGAACTTTAAAAGACTGTGTGTCACTAGCCGGCTTGCGCTTTAGTTCTATCTTTTCTTCATGGCCCCATATCAGGCAAAAGCGATACAAAACTGATGTAACGACAGCAGACGACAGATCTTGCGTCAAGATTTTCAATCCATTCTCAAGTTTATGATTCTTTGACGATATTTCATCGACAACAATTAATCATTTTATAAAATTTATATATCATCAACATTTATCCATTCAAAAATACAACAATTAATCATTTTCTAAAATTTATATATCATCAACATTTATCCATCCAAAACAAGAAGTGTTAATAATATAACCTTAACATCATAGTGCATCAATACAACAAATTGAATTCTTTGATATCAAAACCTTGAACCATATTGGTGAATTATCATTTTTTGATGTAATTATTCTCGTCACATTTTTAACAGATTCACAGTTTGCTTTTTAATGATTTTTTTTTATTTGAAGCTATTGTTAAATCCAAAATATTTATCATAGTTGTGATTACCATATATAATCAATAAAAAAATATGACACATTCATCTTCTCTTATATGACTTTCTTATATGTAATAAGAAGACAATGATTTAAAAAAATAATGATCTTAAATGATGAAGTAATGAAGTTATTTCCTCTCTGTTATTTGTTAGTAGTGTAATGTGAGCCCAACTCCTCTTTTCGCCTTCATTTTGTGAGTAACATTCTGGATCTAAATATGAACACTATTTTGGAACCTTTAAAATATACTTTCCACATTCCAAAAGTTCATTTGGATAGCTTCGGCAAATTCCCAGAAATCCTTAACTTATCAGACCCACACCATATTATATCCCACACAACATAACAACTTGGAATCAACAAACTTTCCTTTACCCTCGCCATGGACTATGCCAAGTGAGCGCGACGAATACAATACTATATGTCTTGTCTGACCTCAGGCGCTACTGGCCTGTAGGTTAATGTGCCTGCCTTATCAACCGCAAATGCGAACACTTGTGGAACACGACATCTAACCTTACATTTAATTAAGTTAGCTGGCATTTACATTATGGTGAGTTAGCCGCAAAGGAAGTTACAACATGGATGAGAAATACTGCACTGAGAGGCGGAAAATGATCACTTTCCAATATCCTTGAGAAGATTCGCCAGCACACACTTGATTAATCACATGTGATAGATCATTACACGACATGGTGAGCGAAGACATGCATCATATTCCCCCAAAAATGGGACCAAGTTGCTTGCTAACACCTGGGAAAGTTATGAAATTCACAGCCGGTGAGGTGCTGCTTTTCAAAAACCTTTTCCTCATGTGATCTAAAGGTACAAAGAGATTCACTGTACGCGGTACACTCGAAGATCTTCACTGGAGTTCACCATCAGCATACAAGTTATTTTACTGCTCTTTTTTTCTCTTGAATCATAAGACGGCTCCGAAAATACAATGAATTTCTCCAAGAATGTCACCCCCACCCGAGGCCTCTCTGACTGATCTTTGAAACTAGATGTGCTTTGCTCTAACGATACAACAAAGGAAGAGGGAGAGAGCTTCCGGGGGTCATTACTTCTACAGCTCGAGTAAGGCTATAACTAGCTATAAATGAGTCTACACTTTGGCTCCATTTGGCTAGGTCAGAAAGGAATGTAGCCTGGGAGACCTGGATATCAATTAAGTACAAGGGTATCAGCGGAACGATGAAGTGATGAACAGACCATAACAGGGTAAAAAGTCAGTTCCTCGGGGGAAGTTTTGCGTTTGGATGACCAAGACTAAATAGTGAGTTTGATGAAGACGACGTAAGAGAAATGCTGGAAAATTCCTGCCCAATCGCGTCATTGTTTTCAGAACCCAAGACTGGCCCATTCGTTAATCCTGAAGGTGACGTATCCATTGTAAATGGATAACCTTTTGGGGAGGAAAATCCAGTCGAGAAACCAGAGAAGCTGTTACTAGGCCTGTGACCCACGGGACGTTCTGGCGAGGGTGGTGTTGACATACTTCCCTTGGCGGACGCATTCGAGTTATACCCAAGATGCTCAGAAGGTGATGATACTTTGCTATTTGAAAACGCAATGTTGTATCCATCTCCCGCCTTCTCAGCTTCAGCTTTCGCATAAGCCTCCGCTTTCTCCCGTCTCTCCCTCTCTTCAGATTCTTTGAGCAGAAAGTCAATCCATAGATCTGCAAATGACTGCAAAAATCGTACAGCGGTTACAATATTGAGCCACTCTAGGCAAGGTGCATGATGCCACCACTTCGATGCACTGACACGCTAGCGATTCAAACTTCCAGGTGCACATCAAACGACTGAATTTACTCTAGTATCTGCTCTCTTAGAACTACATCACGTACTGTGCGCTTCTTTTGATGAAAAACCGTAAACAAGAAATGTAGAGCACACCTGATTCTCCGATGGAGTAGGTAAAGAAAGTGAGTCCGCTGATGCACTCCCTATGAGCCCACCCACGAATCTACCAGGCAGCCCGAGGACACCTCGAACAACTCCTCTGCCAGCGTTTTGCTGAGCTAGACCTACTCGTCTCTTATCGTCCTCCGAGAACCCGAGCATTCGCACCATAAGATCAAGCACCTGCAGCTCCCCATTCCGCGACTTTAGTGGACATAGCAAAAGCGCAATCATGTTGTCACTTGAAACCTGCTTCTATAAGTCCAAACATCAAGACAAGAAGGAACCGGTTATGAGATCAAACCTCTCTATTGTGATTTCTCTGAAAATACGTTACTAGAAGTTTGATGACGATTCGCCTGCATCCACATAGGTCAACGTTAGCAACATTTCGATCACACAAATGATCAATACATATACAGCAAGGTTGCAACGTTGACTCTGTTGCAGCCATATGTGTGACGAAGACCGAAATTTCATCTGTAGAATCCACAGTAGGGTCCTTCATGAAGCGCAGATTACCTATCAACGTGGTAGTCCGAATCCGATGACAAACTGTTCAATCTCGTCATACTCTGCTCAAGAGCTCTGCGCAGCCGCATTACTTCCTCTTCCAGCTTCCGCATTTTCTGCTCGGTTTCAAACTTTCTCTGCTCTGCATACACTAGCTTATCGAGAGCAGAATTCTTCTCTGCGTTCTTCGCCTCAATCTTCTGACTCGCGACCTGATGAACGGAAACTCAGTAAGGCTTTTCAACATTCTTGGAATAAGCAACATAACATCACGTGCAAATGCAGTCCTTTCCTATAGACAATCTTCCGAAGCTGTATATCAACAACGCTATGCAAACAACGAGGTCCACGACCACCTTAAGTCATAACAACAATCCATTGCAGACATAAGTTTCTAGATGACCACCTGCAACTGTTGCGAAAGCGTAGCTATTTCTTCCCGAGAAGCACTCAGCTCGACATATAGGCGCTCCTGCAACAAACACATATGGTAATGTTATTGCTATGACTGCATGAATCAAGAAATTTACGATTTTTCAGTGAAGTGAATACAACATGGAAACCGATGGTGCTTCTGGTCTTTCATTACAATGTCATAACGCATCTCGATAATTCAGATAATATAAAGAAGTCCAATACTTCACTCGAACAAACATATCAAACCCTCGTCAGTGCAGACAGAGTAGCCACATTCCGCACCTGAGCTTCAGTCTCAGCATAGTACTGGCCGAGAGCGCTTTGAAGATTTGAAAGCTCCACGTCCTTCGATTCAAGAGCAGCAAGACAACTTGACAACTTGTGCTGAAGAGCTTCGATTTCTTCTGATGTTCTTCTATACTCCTCTTTACTGTGTCGCTTAGCTTCGGAGAGTTCCGACAACGCTTGGGAAAGTGCTTGTTCTGCATGTAAAGCGCGGGCAAGATTCGAATCTGCCCTTGCTTGCAGATCGGCAATCTGCTCACTATCCTGATCCATCTTCTCAGAGTCTGCTAGTTCCTGCCCACATTGATAAGACAAATAATAAGCTTCAAAACTAGAAGATAAGGAACCTGCAAGAACACTCTTTGCTTATGATGAAGTGCATAGAACGAGAGTCTCGAATAAAAATATAAGCAGCATTCTGATTTTGATGGCAATCTTGCGTACAAAACCGTTGCTGCACAAAAAAAAGAAAAACCGAGAAAGAAGCGCTGACAAATCTAGCGACGTAGGACTACATCAACAAGTCGAAAACCAACATCAAAGCGAGTACGAATATGATACACTACAATAGAAACAAGGCTGCTTCTGAACATCAACGAAACAACCTTGTCCAGAAGATGTTGTTTTAGCCTAGCGAGGTCCCGAGTCGCCTTGTCGCGCTCCGATCGAGCTTTATCCAGCTGCGTCTCGTAATCCGATTTAGCTGATGCCCATGACTTCTCTGCTGCTTCCAGTCGCTCGGTCAGGCTGCGAACCTTCAGATGTGATGTAGTTGTTCAGTATTTTACTGATGATGGAGAAGGTTTGAAGCGGTTTAGAAGAAACTGGACAAGAACGGTCAGCAAGTGATGCAGCTACAAGCCTTTATCCGAAACAAAAAACATGTAAATACGTAATTTTGTGAAATAGGTGGAGAATGACATTGAACCAAACGAATACCTCTGTTGCGGCTTCTTTCGAGGCATCTACATTCCTCTGAGCTGGATCTTTCGAGACATTTTCTATAGATCGTTTCTGTAGGCCTTCTAGTTCTCCCAATAAGCGACTCCTTTCTTCCTGCACTAGTAATGGCGTTCCAGGATTCAATACATACGCAAAAAAATATGAAAGCATCATGGTTCTTCATTACTCGTCCTGGAAGTAATCGAGGCCACAGTATTACCAGACTTTGCCAGAAGTAAACATGCGTCCTGAAGTAGGTAACTATTTCTCCGCAAGCAGGCTTCGTTAGTAGTGCTTCTACGCCTAAATAAACAGTTCCAACCTGTTCTAACTGAACCATGTGCAATTGTTCAGTTAAAACAGTACGGTGCCTTCCCTGCTCTGAATGCAGTTAAGTTGATGTTCAAACACATACATCCAAAGTTTCACTATCCCAACTCTTTGGCAAAATTCTGTTGGTAGTATTACCTTTTATAATCTATTACTTAGGCACAAAACTTGAAGATCTTTAAAAAGTTGGTCACCTGACCCGAAACTAAGATCAGACTGATCTGGCATATCGAAGGTGCGTGTTAACGTTCATGAAGTTTACCAAAAGCTCTACATTGTTCTTCTCTAGACTGGCCACAGCTATCTTCAATTCCTCCACAGCTGCATTTCGCAAGCTTTCTTGCTCGTTTAGTCTCCTTCGAAGTTCGTCCATACTCTCGGATGCCTAGCAAAACATCGGCATTCCAGCATTAAGTTACCATGGGTGAAAACATATTACTTAACAATGAAGACAAAAGATATATGATATCAAACAATTGAGAACATTAAAAACCTCTGTCCAATATTTCAATGTGATATGGAAAAGAGCTATAGCCAGGAAATTAGAACAAATATAATAGCTTTTATTAGACAATTTGAGTAATCACTCGCCAAAGCTAAAGCTGTATTGATGAAAGAGAGGAAGAAACCACTAGTAAACCAACCTTCTGTAACTCGAGTTTCAACGAATCAACTTCCTTCAGAGCAGTTTCGGAGACATCACGATCCCCTGTAAACAAGTCATATCAGGCGAATGAAACTCTGGTATGGGAGACACGAGGGTTTAAGGAAACATTTGTCAAAGTTTAAAAACGATTCAACTTATGAGGCATGAATACCGTGCCAGCATACTTTGAGGCTGCAAGTTCATCTGTGAGACAGCCTCCTTCTCTTGAATCAGAATCTCCTCCATTCGTTTTACTTCAGATAGAGCTACAGCTTCGGAAGTCCTCAGCTTTTCCATGAATTCGTCCTTCTCTACGAGTTGAATCAATAGTTTCTGTAAACGCATGAATAAAAGCAAAAATTCAAATCCCAAGTGGACAATCGACGAGACAATTCTTATATTTCAAAAGACAAGAGGTGAGGTAAAATGTATCAGCCACAAACAACTTGCGTCTGAAACGCAACAAGAGAACTTCGAATACATATGGTAAAGAGAAACATGTTGATCTCAAAAGAAGAGTGCAGGGCAGCATCCTACCTTTTCTGTTTCTTGTAGTTTCAGAACTTCAGACTTCAGTTTTTGGAGTTGTGGGTCCTGGGCCTGCAGAACTCCATTGCTCCTGGAATGATTAACTGTCTCAGCTCTATCTGTGCTTCTTACAGATTGTGCAGATGCAAGCTCCTTCCTATGTTGCATAGTCAGCAATTCAAGCTGCCGCTGATGATCCTTTTGTAAGGCAGCAACATGCTCCTGTTCCGCACACACGCGACACAGACCAGCGATAAATATTCACATGGAAGTGATAAGCGGAATAAGATCTTAAAGTTTCACAGGCAGCAATATAACTGACCAGATTCAGTTCCAGCCAAAATTCAATTCAGGTACCGCCTGCTTTGAGTACTTTCATACACTGGAAAACAATTTGAGGTTTAAGCTTCCAGCAGACTGCACGTACAAATCATATAGATCCTTACCTCATGAAGTGATTTACTAGCTTCCACTTCAGCTTCCAGATTCTGCAACAATGTGCGATGTTGGGCGATGAATAATTAAGTATCAGAATCATCTTGCATTGTGAAGACTTCAGCAGGTAAGTAGCAATCCGTGCTAACAACTTGTCTTGTCAAACGCAAGTTCAAGTAATCGTTCCACTTAACTATAATATTCATGAAAGATTTACGTTTCAATATGATCTTCATCAATTAAGTAAACAGAAACTCTACACATACGCGTGCGCGTATCATAAATTTTCAAAACAATCACCTTAATGGTTTTTTCCAGCTGACCGTCTCGCCCTTCAGCCTCGGACACATGCGCTCCATCTTGGGAGCTAGATACTAAAAGCTTCTGTTTCAAAAGTCCATTTTCTTCTTGTAATCTCGACAATTCTTCCTGAAAACAACCCATAGGCACCAAAAACAGTAAGAAATATTGCATATTTTGTGAGCCCATCGGTACAAAACCGTGTTCATTGCTTGTGAAACACAAACTCGAGATTGAACAGTACAGTGTCATCACAATCCCACCTTATCAAGACAACACAAAGCTTCGAATAGACTGTCAAAAAAGTCTAACAATCCAAGTTGATCTTATTCACTTGACTTTCCGATACTGATGAAAATGATGTCAGCATATGAACCAGTCAGTGAACCAGCATCGCCACCATCATCGGGTCAAATTATGCTACGGTCTCTTTTTTCCACTGAGTGTGGCACTATAATCTAGTTTCCAATACGTTCCTAGAAACGTAGCATACATACGTGATAGCAAACAGGATTATAGCTTATTCGTGTACGGCATACTCAGCTATCGTGAGGAAGGCTTAGAAACCTCCCAAACTCTTTGAATGACGAGGTGAAACATACCTCTCTGTCTTTTAAAAGAGCAACATAGTTCATGGACAACTGTTGTATCTCCGACTCAGCCGTCTGAAGCCGTGTGACTTCACCCCTGTACCATTCTAACTGCAAGATGCGATGAACTGTCAGTGATACCAGATTTCGGTCTTTACCGGTCATAAAACCCTCAGCATCCATAGAATAGGACAATTCTACACCAGAAGTTTCCAAGATATCATAACCTACGTTATTCAAAGTCGATTGGTAACTTAGTCCCGGGTATTTACTTCTATGGTTATTATGTCTTTTAAAAAGTGATGCTTCGGTCTGTTCATATTAGCTTATAAGAAACTCGGGGCTCGGAGTCAACGGTACACAGATATTTGTAAATAAGCACTTCGCGGAGCTCGGCTTGTAAGCACCTAGCAAATTGAAAAGCAGTGATCATCGACGACAGCTTGAACCAGCCAAATATTGGAAATAAAGGTTAGCAATACTTAGTTATACCAGGAACACCAAATACGAAAACCCTGAAGATCTACATAAGTCCTGTCTCAAAGATCCGCTACAGGTAGTAGAACACGAAGAGTCTACACTATAAAGACAAAAATCAGCCCACAACAGCTGAGGATTTTACTTCGTAGAAAGTCGAACTTCCAAGGCAGGCTGAAACATGGATTGTCTTTTGAAACTGTACCACTTAAAGAATGGGCCTCAGGCTAGGACCAGCGATTGCCAATGAGTACAGTAACACTTTTCCAATAAGACAGGAAGGCTGCAAAGCGGCACTTTCAATGAGGGATAGTTCATCATGTGCACATCATTGAGGTTAACAAAATCCTCTAGCACACTATGGCTGTCTAATTACTATGAGAGTTTATGGCGAATTGATGGAGGTCTAGATTAGGTGAAAAATTCTCAGATAATTGTAGAAATGAAGAACTCTGAGGACAGCAGAAACTCATGCACTTGGAAAAACTGTTGGGAGGCACAGCTGGAAAGAAGGCCGACTCGACTGCATACTGGGATACCTTCTTGTACTCAGACCAGGAGACTACATCATGCTAGATATAAACGTTATGCGAGAAACTCATTCCGGCACCACGAATTGAGTGAAGAATAATAGTTACGAAACCAAACTCAGGGTTGTAACAAGCATTGCATTCTTTCATACGGAGATCAACGACTTCAATTGAAGTGAGTCACTCAGAGTGGCCAAGCGTCACAAGAACCACTTTTCAGAAAGTGATACCACGACAACATAATGTTGACATTTATGGTCGTACATTTTGCACCTTTGGATGTTTCATGACAATGAGTGTGTGAAGCCACAGGTCTGCCTTCCATGCCAATGTACGATTATAGAGAGCTCAATCAAGGCAAACGATGCAATGTGAAATTCAAGACTCAGATCCGCAACAAAAAGCGGTAAAAAGCTTACCTCAGCCTTAAGATTCGGATCCTTGTACGAGTGATTGGTAGCACGCTGAGGAGCAGGCCGGTGAGAATCGAACGATCCATCATCCTCACCATGGGGAGATCCGTCTAACTCGAGCTCGTCCGCCGAGTCCAAAACATCGGCAGCAATCTGCGTGAGGTTATCTTTGAAGTTGGCAATTGTGTTCCACATGATTGCCCTCCCACTCTCGCACGACTTCTATAAGAGTCGGAAGCCACTACTCTCCGGGGGCATTCGATGCTAATTTTCAAATCAACCAGCAATGCCACAGAAATCTGTCCATCCGCATCGAACAGCCTCTCACAAACCTGTGACCCCGAACCACCAGAGAACCAAATAGAAGAAAACACTAGAAAAAGAAATCCAAGACCCAGGAGCTCGTCCCACGCCCTGCCTTCACTTTCTTCCGTGGACTTCCTACTTTCCGCTCTCCTGCGCTTTCAGCACGATTGCAGAGGTAATCACCGATGCTGCAACTCTTGATCTAATCGCTGCGCGCTGCAGGAATAAAATCATAATCCGAAACCACAAGACCTGGGACTGGGACGTGAGCAGGTCGCAAGCGATCACCGATCGAATCAGAACACACCGCGCGAGCCCAGATCATGCCCGAGCGCACCACACCCCCTAGCGCACATCAGTCATGCACAGCAGCCCGCAGCCCGCTGCCCGCCCGCCCGCCCGCCCGCGCCCCCCACCACCTTGACCGCGGTCAGTCTCTGCCCGCTGCCTCTCTGATTGCTCGCCTCGCCTCGCCCTGCCCTTCCCTCAGTTCCTTCGCAGTGACGGCTACTGACAGCACCACGCTCCTCCGGAGGACTGCTGCCTTAATTTTCGCATCGCAAGGGAAGGGCGTCCCTCCGCCTGCCGACCGCCTGTCGTCGTATGGGCTCGAGCCGCTCCATCCATCCATCCTTGGTCCGTTCTTGCTTTCGTTACTCTCCCTCCGTTTGACTTACATCTACTCGAAGCGAAAGTCTGCGAAACCGTTCCTGGGCATGGTTTTCTTTATTCCCATCTGACTTTCTGTACTTTCGACTTACTCGGAGCGTCCTTGAGCTCTGTACCGGACTGTCCTGTCGCGCAGTTTCTGTGGAAGGGAGGGAAGGAGGTGGAGTCGTCGGAAATCAATCATCGGAGAGTTTCTTGGGCGCCGCACTGTAACTTCCGCTCGCCCCGGCGGCCAAGAAGAACAATACGGCCAAGACTCGCGAGTACGTGAGAGGCTCTGAACCCGTGCCCGTCCTGACGCTGACGCCGCCGGAGACAAGACGCGGTACCATGTTCGGCATTCAATCATCACGAGGACTCGTCCTCCTGCGACCGCGACGGAGTGAATTCTACGCGCCGATGGACATCCTTTGGTTGCACTCCGGGCGCCGTGTCACCTTTTCAAAATTACATCAATCCCTGCAGGCTCCGAGCGTTGATTGGAGGGCAAATGGGCAACTGGCAGAGGCATGTTTCTGCAGCTGCGGAACGGGGAAGTGTCAGTCCACTGCCGGTCGGCACGCAAGGGCCTCCTCCTCCTCCAGAGAACGCTAGGTGTGGGACCACTGCCAAATGCCGGACCTTCCCCAGGGTTGGCGACGCCATCATTCCCGCATGTCAAAGATAAAGAAAAAGTTCCGGTTTCCTCCTTTGCCTTGCCGAGCTAGAAGTGGTTCCTAGGCCTTCGGGTTTTCATGCTTCGTGATTGGAGGACGCACTCCGTTTGTCGATAGACAACTGGTGGGCCGATAAAGCGCTGGGTTCCAAGTGTAGGGACCACAGCTACTGTGGCGTTGGGCGTTGGGCGATGGGGCTAGAGATGGCGGAGCTGATAGCGGCAGAGGTGAGAGGAGCGAGCGGGTCATTGGGTCACGGCGAGGAAGGAAGGGGTTCTCAATCTTTCTCTTCTCTTGCCTTGCCTTTCATTTCGTTTCCATACCGCTCTTATGTTCTTCTATGGTACAGTAGGACCGGGTTGCATCCTCGGGAGGAAGACGGGACGCGACGAAGATCGGTCTGGGATGGAAGGGCTGCTGCTGCGATAGGCGAACGGAAGGGAAGCTGCTTGTTTGCCATTTTTTATTCCGGCGTCGAAATTAGTGCGTGTATTTCGCCTGGTGACAATTCAATCCTCGGGCCAGGCCTGGCCTGCTACGGACACGGGCAGAGGAGGTTTCTGGGGGCTGTGAAAGGATTCGCACCGCGGCGAATTTCTCATGTCCCTGACAGTCAGTGGAAGCGAGAGAATTTTCTGTTGATGGTCGATCAGTAGTGGACAGAGTGGGTAAATCTCACAACGTGGGCACAATCAGGTGCGGAGGAGTTACCCATTTGCGTCGGGGCATGTGTGATTTTCACTAGAGACAGCGCAGACGTTTGGTTGAAGATATATCTACACTGCTGTCCTTTCACAGTGCTTTTTGGTGCCGTAGTTTATCGTCATCGAGACGAGGAAAGTTGCCGAGACAAACAGTGTTTCGTTCGTTCGTGGCAGGCTGGACCTTTTGAATTTGTAGGTCATCCATGACCCGGATAGGACGGATAGATTGACGTGCTCTGAGGTAGCTCTTGTTTTGCACCTGACATTGGTTCTGGATTAATTTAGCTGGAGAGCCGATTGTAACAGCCAGAGTGAGTGAATTGCGGGAAGGACTGACCTGTGAGCCAGAGTACGACCTGAGAATTCGAGTGACAACATTCGTGATCCGCAGATTGAAGTGAAATGGCACTCACGGGCGTCAAGATTTCCGAGGAGACCTATTTGACGTGCCTTACTCACGCTCTGTCAACCGAAACGGAAGAAATCATGGGCCTTCTTCTTGGGGATATCGAGGTATGTTTGCATGCATGTTCGAGAGCATTTTGATAAAGAGGGGAATATCTTATATCAAATTCAAGGTAATTCTAGCCAGTCTGCATCAAATGTGAGCGTCGTTCACCTGCATCGTGTGAACCACTAGCCGAACTAGTTTAGACGTTTAGCTCAGTTGAAGGAACAGAGATTCACTCTTTACCATCAGCATGTATTTCTAGGTTGTATAATTGCTCACCAGCTGCAACTCTTCTATATTTAGCCATTGAAGCAGTCCAACCCGTTTCAAGCTTCAGAAAACTTAAACAACAATTACTTAGTTGTGAACATTCCGCGAGTAAATGTTTGAAATTCTTACCCAGGGGTATTCCTCAAGGAGTATGATTCTGCGGACACCTACACATCGAAGTCAATCCAGGATGATGGGCCTTTGTAGACTGCGAGCAAATGGTAGATGAATCTCATAATCTTGTCAGAACTTGTTAGCTAAGAGTAGAGTTTGTGATAGGAAAGTCCTGATTTTTCCTTCTTGTGCAGTATCTAGAAGATGGATCTGCAATAGCGCTTGTATGGTGGGCTGCTCCTCAAACAAGGTCAGACCGACGAAAAGATCGTGTCGAGACTAATCCAGAGCAGCTTGCTGCTGCAACTGCTCAAGCAGAAATATCCTCATCAGTGATTTAATTTGACCTCAGATCTACTCCTGTCCTACAATTCCTTTCTGAATCTGCTTCATGAAGTTTATTGTATCTACACATGTGTCATTCTTAACCCCATAGAACAAAATGTCCGTTGAAATTGGGCGCACGACTAGAGTGATTGGCTGGTATCATTCACATCCCCATATTACAGTTCAGCCTTCTCATGTTGGTAAGGCTTTTTGCCCATTTACTGGTTTCAAGATTTCGTATCTCTCGCTCTTGTCAATATTATCTTCAATCTTTTGTAAGTTGCATCAACTTATCAAATAACAGTGTCCAAGTATTTCCATGGACTTCTGTGACACACTGACGATTTACAAGACTTACTTCTAATAAACAGAAAGAGGTTCATAAGAAGTAGCGAAGTTACTTTCGAGACAACCGTAAACGTCATATTTTGTTTGGATGCTTCTCCTGGTTATGTGGATTCGAATGAATGTTTTTAATCTCTGGATTTTGTGAAGATTGCCGTACACAAAAAATGTACCAGCTCCTAGATCCGGGGTTCGTGGGCGTAATCCTCTCTTGTTTCAGTGAAGATGCCAACAAGGTCAGGTATTCTCACGACTGTCTAATCGGGAGCTAACAAGAATGCATATTAATTTTTCTGTTTCTGTGGGTATGTTTCTGTGGCTCTTTTAGTACTGTTTGGGAACCATTGTGGCCATTCAATTCGCTTGTGTAGCTCTCTGATGATGAGAAGGTACCTGTTGTGGTAAAGGATGCTTGGATTTGGTTTTCCTGGACAGGTTGGAAGAATACAAGTAATAGCCTTTCAATCACAAGATGGACTGCGCAGAGATTACAGGTCTCAGGGTGTAGGATCATACGATTCAGCTGGGGATTCTTCCCGGTCTGCCCCAGTGGCCCCTAGCATCTCCGAATCCGAGATTCATAGCACACCGAAGGTATGAGTTGGATAAACGGGCGATATTATAGCGTGTTACAATAGAGAATCTGGTTCCGTTTGTCATTTTCTTATGAACAAATGGCCTCTGATTACGTAGGAAAGCATCTTGACTTCAAAATTTCCCAGCTCATTTGTCAGATGTCATGCCATAGTTATTACCAAGGCAGTGTACAACCTGAGTTGTTGGTTACTTCACATAGAGTATCTATTTTAATACATTCGGGACATATATGTGAAGCTCTATTTCTTCGACTAGCGATTGCTGTTTTCACCTAGAAACATATAAATATGCAATATTTAATGTCTCAAGCGTGAGGTCCATAAAAAATGCTATAATGACTTTTGATGTTGGATTTCATGTTTGTCTATCAATGATATGTCTAAGAAGTAAAGGAAGTAAACTTGAGAAATGAAATAATACAGAGGAGGAATTTCAGAAAATGTCTCATGAATACAAATATGTTTTGCAGAAACACCTATGTATGAAACTTGCTTAAAATTTGATTCTTTTAATATTGAACTTTGACTTAGTAGGTCTATAGGTGCCGCCTCATGTTTGTTATATAGAGTTTTGCCCCGAGTAGTAAACTTCAACTTAGGAAACTCTAAACTCAGTAATCTGCTACGCTCAAGTTAGTAATCTATGTACTACAACTTAAAATATATCTTGTTGTGAACTTTGCTGATTGATTAGTATTCGATTTTTTCCAGGCCAGCTCATCCGGTAACAAGCAACAAAGTGCAGCCTTGGAGAATCTTTTTGCAATTGCAGATAGTGAGGCAAGAGGTGCAGCTGGGACGTCTACCTCTGAAGATGAATCTCTGAGCATGCAGGAGGCCATGCACCTCTCGAATCTAGAGGCCAGGTTGATCCCATGGCCACCCAGTTCCAAATATTTAGCAGCGGATGTCATACTTCTCTTTGTTCCAGTATATAGCTTCGGAATATTGACCGAAAGACAGTCGTATGAAAAGTCTTGAAACTATTTCACTAAGTTGACATCATAGCTGCCAAGAAACGCCTAATTACCGTTCGGAGTTTAATTACCGAATGTGTATTATACATGCGCAGCGGTGCAGAATTCGTACGAAAAGAGATACCATTGGAAGTAGTCCCTGGTAACTCCTTAGTGAAGCTGGCGTTTCCTTTGGCCCCTCTCGTGGAACTGCAAAGAACTTTATTTCAAGAAGAACATGCTGCTTTCAGACAGGCCATCGCCCAGAGCACAGTGTAAATCATCCGGTCCTTATACCAACTGATGATGTTATTTATTACTCCTTATTGGACCACGAATGGGAGTCAAGTTTTTGTGAAGTTGGTCAGCTAGAGTGAAGGATAGAAAGACTTGTTAGCGCAGAACTTTGGCCCCGTTTATGCTCATTGGTTTGTTGTGGACATCCATTAACATAGATCTGGATGATTGTGGATGTCAGAAACGGGCAGATACATCCGTTAGCAGTTTTCCATCATGAGGCCCAATATCAGGCAACACTTTCCAAGCTAATGGAATATTGGTAAGGACCATCCGCGCATATTAGTTTGGATTTGTATGTTGACTTCAGATATGGTTTCAAAAACATCTGCCACTGAGGAGATGCTAATTTTGTTTGGTTCGCTACAGCTTATGTCCTGCACTTCAAACGCTCATGGACAAAAATCAGCAGAATAAAATTAGGGTGAGTCTCATTCCTAACGACAGATAACGATGAAGATCTTACTTGAGCAAATGGTCGTCTTGTATATTAAATGAATTGCTGAGACCTTATATCTTTCTGTAATAATATCCACTTGAAGTATTACATCATGAGCGGTAAAGAACAGACCGAAATCGTGCTGTATGAACGATATGATACATTATGTGAAGGTTTTGTATCCATGAATAATTCGTGACTTTTCTTACTCTGTTCTGCTGGAATTGCACAGTTGGGGCAAATGCAAGATGATCCACAGGCTCTTCACCTTCAACGGATCGCTATTAGCTCAAAAACAGGTAGTCCCAGGTCACCGCAGGCCGTGGGTCGATCTCCATCTCACCGAGCTGGTGGAGGTTCGTCTTCATCGAGTGGAAGGCTATCGTCAGAAGTTTTCTCGCCAACAGTGAGGAGAAGTACCAGTAGTGGGCATAGGGGTGCCGGGGATTCAAGATCGGCACAGGAAGGGAAGCCTGCTTCCCCGGACTTGATACGTTTCTGATTCTTTGCATGATTTGTACGAATGTGTACAGCTTTTTTGACTTATCAGATTGTCAAGAATTGTTGAGTCTGCGTTGACTTAGTGGTAGAGTCAATACCCGTATGTCTTTCAATTTGATCTCATTGCCTTGCTCGCAACTCATGTAGGAAATGACATGCCCATGAGTATTCTCGGTATCCACAATTCTTCCTAGGTAGCTAAACCGGTCGGCAGTACAAATGCTGGATGATTAATCAGAGCAAGGCCAAGAGTAACGTAGCCCCCTTATACGTCCCATAGCATGTCAGCATCTGGATTCCATCTTCACAAGTTCGAGAGAGCTTCTTCTTTCCTCCCAATGTATAGAGTTACGTCTGTAATTGAGTCAAGTTGGGGTTACTTCTACATGTGTCATGTCTTAGTACATGCCCGTGCCGAGACACGCAGTCATTTGAGTGAATTTGTACAGGAACGCGAAGTGACTTGTACACTTCTGCCTTGAGTTTCAGGCTGCATATTCTTCTTCCTGTTGGCTTTCTTTCTAACTGGAGACTTCTTATGATGAGCAACATGCATTTCAACATCGTCTTGTAGTAACTGTTGCGCTGTCCATGTGTTTTAAAGTTGGGAGGCCTTTGTAAGCAATCGAAGAATAACTTGGAACGAATGATATATCGTATTGTTTGGATTGAGAAGTGCTTCGCATAGAAGAGCCTAGCCTCCGCTGAGCAGGCCGGTCCCGCACCACGTAAAGAACTCGTATCTTTGCAGTGCATGGCTCCACAGTGTTCGATATGCTCGGATGCTAGGAATGACCGAAGCTTTAGACAAGGTTTCCACAATATCTAGCTGAAACAAACTGTAGCGATGTGCATTGATGGAGGAGAGCAGTATTTTGGAACACCAGGTTTTTGAACACACAAGAACAACAAGGTTAGAGAGGAGCCAATGTTGTGGATGATAATTGAAAAGCACACCCTTGAACTTTCTCGGATTAATATTTTCCTTCCTAGGATATTGTAATTCCTCTTTTCTACTTGATGTACCTAATTACACAACTACGAGCTCTAACTTGAAATATTGCATGAGAGTGAGAAGCAAACTGCGTAAATCAATACTCAATTCTGTTTACAAGTCATAGCCATGGAAATGCATTCACAAAGTAGGAAATGAACTATATTTAGCTGCAAACGAAGGTCGTGTACTGGTACATGAACACTCTAAACGTTTATATTGTTTGATCGTTTTCGAAGTTTGATTACAGTCAAGTGGTTTGGCCTTGTACCGGATGTTCAGTCCCCATTCAGACGTCCTACTTTGTTGCGGTTATAGCAAAATCACCAACTCTGGGAAGGACGTAGGACCCCTGATACGTGCATCACGTCAAAAGGAATTTGATTTTGCAATAACTCGTTCTACACGTCCGTTAATATTGGATTTATGCTGAATGTCAACCTACGGTGGTACAATTCTCAATCGATAGAGTGAACCAGCGGTGGAGGCAACCATGTCCGGTCTCCGATGATCACGAGTTTATTCCTCTTTTGATGTGCCAACCCCGAGCTCGGAGCCCAAGCCCAGTCACCCGTTTGAAATCATTTGAATGAAGTGTGCTGAAATCTACTATGAATTTTGGGTTCCATGATGCAAATTTTGAGTTCAGTTGTCATAGATCCCACAAGTTGGGAGTTTACATCTGTCAAACATTTCCGAGCTTTCGAAAATTGATTCTGCTCTAGCAATGATTGCGACTTCCACTGAGCAGAAGACCCTGGTGGCACTACACTCAATGAACACAGATGGTCTGCAGAATGAAATGTGCTTAATACATCAAAAGATGGACTCTTCCAGACTGCAAAGATAAGCAGGAAAAAATTCTCTGATAATAAGGCTTCGAAGTGATATTAGCTGTTTAAAAGCCGTACAAGTCGAACGCAATTTGGACACGATTGGGATCACTTCGTTATCATGATCTAATAGGTTGTCACCAAAGAAAACATTGTGCTGAGCTTTTTCGTATGCGTTTTCTTGTTGACTAAGTCTACCACTCTTGCTCAGCTGCAAAGCAGTTCTATGGTACACACATTGGACAATAGCAACCTAGAAACCTTAGCTTTTTACAAATTTCTACATTAATGACGTAAAATGCTGAAACTCTCAATGGATGGACGGCTGTACGTTGAACCTCCATCCATCTTCTTACACATTGTTGATTAAAAAAAGTTATACTATGTCGTCTGAAAGGTAAGTTCTTATCTCAGTGTGTTCGGAAAGCAGTTATTTCTGTTGCGACCTCGTCTAATACATGAATATCCGTTCACAATCTCAGTCGGAAGAAAAATGAAGACTTTGAGAAACTACAGCATGGTTGTACCAGAAGTATCCACAAGCATCTTCTTAACCAGGTTGGATGTGATGCAACTGCTTGTCAGAAAGCCAAAGGACAATTTTGGCTTAAGATACAATGCTGAAGTGTATATCGTCCCATTTGAGCTATCGTACAGACATCTGCTGAGACTTGTTTGAGACTCATTTTGCTGAATCTTCTGTAAACAGCCCTCCTCCTGACGCCAGAGCATCCTCACAGCGCCCGTTCTGAAATATATACATGAGTCCTAAACATCTAACGAGTTACAGTTAATCACTTCATTGTTGCGGAAAGGTGAGGTCTTCGGTATACCTTGTATGAAAACTGCCAGATTTCACGTAATCTATCCGTATGCTTAAACATGTTCACCAATTACAGAAACCAATTCCAGTAACAGAGGAGTTAATTTTACGTACTGAAAGCCTTCTGCTATTTTCTGTGTCCTCTGGATAAGCCTACAACATTGTAAATCTTATTCTCTGACAGAAGCAAGGCTTTACAACAAATCGAAGCTTACCGAGTCGCATCAGAAAGTCTGTATTCGGCATCCTTCATCCTGCCTTCGCATTTAGCACACTGTTATTCAACAACAAACAGAGATGTGTTCCGGAACAGGATGCACTATCCAGCCAGCGATGTATGGAAAAAATGTTGGTAGTGCTCAAATATTACGAATGGTCCGATATTTCACGTCTTATACTCTTCTCTTGGGCTTATGTATGAACTAGTGTCCCTGATACCAGCGATCACATCACATCGACCCACTCTACCATGAGTTACAGCTTTCTTCCACTTTTTCACTTCTCAAAATGCGATCAAAATGATCAGCACTTGGAAATCAGCCTTGTACTTCACACACTCGAGCATAAAATTCTCCACAAAGACCTATAACTGTATCTGTCACAGACGATCAGCAAAAACCGGACATTCTAGGATGAAAGAAGAACGTGTCAAAAAATTGCGAGTCATATTCAATGAATCAGAGGGAAGTACCTGAGATGGAACTAAGGAAGCACAAATGCCACTCTAGTCGCCACATCATCGCCCCATCTTCTAATTTCTCCACACCTCTTGCCATCACGTCGTATTTGCTTCACTTGAATCACTGGCGTGAAATACGTGCATCCTTTTGTCTAGCTGTATGAAGAGCATCCACGCTTCTACCAATCAACCTCACCGCTGATATTCATCTTGGACATTTGTGTCAGGGTCTGGAAAATCAATATTTTCCTGGCCCCCTATCCGACATAGTGTCATGAAAATGGTGTACCAGAACCTGAACTACGATTGATTCATACCAAATCATGTACTCTCGTCCAGACTTGTGGGGTCCGTTCCATGACTTCTGTAGTCTCCGACACTCTGACATCCCCCTAGCCGGGTGTAGTTAGGGGGATGGATGGGTGTTCGGAGATTACATGAAGTGATGCCACATCTGCTCAACGGGATCCGATCATTGAGCTTTTCAAGCATTTATGCATCTCTGATGCGGGCATTCTCATGGCAGCCTGCGCGGATCAAACATCGTGTGATATCTCCACAAGATGCCTACAGAGCACATGGCAGACTTTGACAATCCATAACGAAGCTACGGGCGATCGAGAAACCCATGACCTTCCAAGGCGGCAAATCCTTCTGGAAATATCCCTCTGATTCAGAAACGAGACCACGGCTGTCCGGTCTGTGTCCGACCCACGCGTCGTCACTTCCTTCAGGGACATCGCTGCAGACTAGGAGACTGAGGGACTTTCGTCACGCTATTACAACTCTCGATGGAATGCGCATGCGGCTATTGAGGATCTCTTTCAGTCGAAGCCATTTGCTTCATTTTTATAGAACGGAAGCATCTAACCTTTACTGTTTCCCACAGCCATTCGAGTCACTATCGGCCAAGTTGACAGTCCCAACATTGATGACGAATACCTTGTTTGTCCTTTGAAGTCCATCGAGGCATGGAAATTGCATCGACGATGGGCCCACGAGACACTTTTCCGGGTTCCACCAAAAGCACTCCGAGTTGGGTCGGCTGACACGCTCTGCTCTCAGAAGGGTGAAACAATTTGTACAGGTGTTGGAGTAGGAGGTCTACATTGTGAAAACTTACGGCGTTCAATGCAAATGAGGCCTGCACTCTTTTCCTCTGACAACGTGTGACTGTCCTCAGAGAAGAACAAGGGGATATCACAGAGCTAGACACGGACGGTGACGGACCATGAACTCGCCGAATCTTTGTAACAAATTATGTGATGAGCTAGTGCAGACCAATAGTCACTTGAAAATCCGACATGGAGACATCATTACGCGGAATCCACATTCCAAATTGAAAATGTAGCGAAATTCTCTGAAAGTATGAGTGCAAAAAAGTACGCACGTAAAGTGTCATCTCATTATTGGGACGGTTCTACTGCATGCCATCACAATTCATTTCCTTCCAAATGGTAATAGCCAGGACTCTGACTGAATAAATCTGGCTCGGTAGACACCTCAATGTCCCTAATTACGAGATTTTCTTTCCATTCGTATTTTGCTACGTATAACGCATAGCACCGGGAAGTCTGAACACGAGCAACGTATTTTCAACGACAATGTGCCACGAGTTCAATTGTTGGCTATGACTGCAACCTGAGGTCAATAATCGTTCTCCGTTGAACATTTGACCGACTCTGACGATCCGATCGTGGAAGAATCTGAATTCGTAGCTCTGTTCATTGCATCTAAAACAGGGCCCATTCCAGAGGGACTTGCTGAAAGTTTGCCTCCAGTCTCACGACTGAGTTTAAGACGTTCAAGAGGGGAAATTCAGCGTTTGACGAGTGGAATACTAATGTTAAAATTTGTACGAAATAGATTATTGCCCATGACGAGCTATTGAGTACAGTTGGTCAATGAGGTCAGATATATCAAAGCATGCAACCTTCGCATGGCCTGAGAGGAGTTTGGCTTATGAAGTTGTGTCTCAGGCATGGCTTTACGGGCTATCACAGGGGCGTGGGCCTGCGTGGTCCGACTTCAAGAGTCAGTTTCTTAGCGAGCTGAAATGTATGGAAGCATGTGGATGTGTTTTCTTCTACCGCCATGCTTTGCTTGTAAGAAAATATCATATTTTCCTTAGATCTACCTTGCATGAAACACGACCGACCGATCACTAAAGCCTCAAAAAGAATCCCAGAAAATCACCACGTCCTTTCTTCTTTCTTCTTTCTGCCGTAAGAAGGAAGATTCGAAAATGCGGATTCCTATCGCGTACAGGATGAGCCATGTATGCATGCAAGCCAGGAGGAAACATCGCTGGGACCTGGCTCAAGGGTTCTAGAATCGCACTGAAGGAAAGTCCACGCACACATCGCTCCAACTCCAGTGCTGCAGAAAGAACAAAACGGGGATCTAGGATCTCTTGTTTGATTTGACTTGACTGCATGCAAGACCCAGGACAGTGGAAGGAACGCTGCTTATTAGATCAGTCTTCTTCGAGGCACGGCATTTATCTCTTACGATCGGGTTTTCAGAACGTTCAAAGCTGTAAAAAATCAGCATCTATCGTTGGGATTGAACAGAAGAGAACGTTTGCTTAAATTTTCCCTCAATGGAACGCATTCGAGTGTTCTTTGGTGTGACAATTAATCTGGCACGTCAATTACATTATAAGTTTCCTATTAAAAAGAAACAAGTTGATGAACGCAGGTTCTTTGCTTCGGATAATAGCAGCTTGGGAATTTGGATCTGGCTCGAAATTATGCTTAACTTATATAAACATGAAATTTTCTTGTTATATTATATATCATTAACATTGTAAATATATCCGAAATTCTTCTTGCTCTAGATTTAGTGATCCCGCATACTTGTTTAAAAAAAATAAATCTTCTTCAAAGATAAGGTTTACATTGTTTTGATTCAAATGATATTTTAAGATCGGAAGTTGATCTCAGGACACCGGATTTGTGTGATGTCTCTCCTTCAATAATAAAAAACACTGAGCGAACTGGGGAGTTTGAGTATGAGACGTGGCTCTCGAGTAAATCACCTTTGGAACTCGACGAATCGGATAAAGCAAACTTTCCTCGCACATACAAAGAGCCATCAGCCCATAGGTCCTCCCTCTATGTTGAATTTTGCAAAAGTGTGGTACTTTACTACGTGTCCGAAATTGCAAGTGACCCTAACTGAAGCTCGTCACAAAGTTGCCTATGAACATGCATGCAAAGGTTCGTCTTTTGAATTAAAGAGAGTTGTAAGATTTCCGGGCAAACCTTCTTCTGTCTATCTTCCTTTAGGACGTGTTCCATTCTAATCCAATAATGTGGAGGCATTAAATCAAAAAAATCCTAACACAAAATTGTGAAAACATAGCCAACTGGAAGCTCCTCCGAGTAGGTATTATGAATCAGACTAAACCTTCGGTGAGCACGGATCAATCACTGCATAACTTTCTGCTTCCACTTGAGCAATATCTAATCAGGTCCACGGTTCGGTTTATTCGTATCGGGGGATCAAGGTACTATACCATGGTAAATAGTAAATAGATCAAGCCCGTTGGACCCAAAGGGTCAAAAGGCTTAAAAATACAATACAAACAATCAAACTCCAAACGAGGAGAGAACCAAAAGAACACTGTAGCTAGTGCCAATAGCACTAGAACACAAACTAATAACATCCTCCATAAAACAACCTAAATCATAAGTCTCAAACTGCAGTAAAGAATAAAAACTCTCAACAACAACAACCCTATGAGTCACTCTAATACCTATTTATCAAGTACAAGTGACAAACACATGTTCTATATCCTCAACTTTTCTCCCATCACGTAGCCTACAAATACGTTCACTCCAATCAATGTTCAACTAGCGTACTTCCTCAATCCCAAGACTATGAGATGGTGTTCTATGCCAAGCAATATGACGTAAATATGTAGAGATCTCTGCAAGTAGATATATTTGCTCACAATAAACAAGCATAGAATTCACATGAAGTTGATAAAACTACATTTTAGTGTTTCGTCTGCTCCAAATAATGTTGAGAAATTCCTCTTCAATAAGCTCGCAAAGAGCCATAGGTTGCAAATTCCAATCGAGTTCCGTCACAATCCACCTCAAAGACCAAATCATCACATCTGCAAACCCTTTCTTATGACGTGTGGCATGCAAAGCTTTAAAAGTAAGTCAAAAAGTATCAAGAGATCTCACTCTTCACACGTAATTGATAGTCAAAAAAAGAGCTTCAACCTCAAGAGGTAGAAAACATGTTTCCGCAAGAAGAATAGCATATGAAGTTTGGAATCTCACATCCAATTCTTCTTGTAAGAATATATTTTGCATACTCTTCAAAGTTGTCAATCTGTCTTCTTACAACCAGGATCTCACATTTGTGTTTCATATAAGATAATGAGAAACATTAAGCTCCTAAATAAGAATTTCCTAAGACTCCAAGACACTAGATGAGTTATTTTAAATCTATTTAGCATGTAATAAAGAGCCTTGAAACCAACTTGTACAGTTTTTTGCACACAAAGTGCCCAACTATAATTGTGGGAGAAATAAATGACTATATATTTGTAACTCCTCATTTGTTCTAACTCTAATACTTTGGTAAAAAAAAAGAATCTAGTGTCTACAAGAGTAACTTTTGACTTCTACATCATGAATTCCATCTGATTTTAAGTACAAAAGTTAGTCACAGTGTCAAGTTGTTTTTGTAACTAATGACATCATGTGCTAGTAATGTGGCATCATCAACATACTAGAAAGCTTTGAAGACAAAAACTCCAAGTTTAACATCTTGACTTTCACAATCTTCTAACCACCTTTTTATATCATCTATGAAAACTTCAAATAAAGTAGAAGAGAGTAAAAACTTGAATAATTCCAATGGTACTCCAAATCTCTTTGGTTTGAGAAGTGTTGATCTTGGTCTGAATGGAGTGGTATAATATTTCCACCACTACTAAGAAATCTAATGGTACTTCAATATTTTGCAATCTTTTCTAGAAAACTTCACTGGATGTTGTGTCAAAAGCTTTCTTGAAATCGATGAAGTCACAAAACAAAGCTTTTCCATTATCCTTGGAATTCTCCCTTAAAACATGCAAAATCAAGATATGATCAATAGTGTTGAATGTAGAACAAATACCAACTTGGAACCGTGCTTTCTTTTGACAAAATTTTGCCCATGTGCTCAACTTTGATTCCATCAATTTTCCAAATAAATTGGCAAAAATATCATTCATCATGATAGTCCGATAGTTTGTCATCAAATCCTTGCTCCCATATTTGTGAATAGTAACAATCTTTGATAGAGACCAAGTTGAAGGAAAACCATAGATAGCAACATTCTCTAACACTTTAATGAGAATTTGTCCAATAGCATCTCCTCACCACTTGAGAATTTCAATCGAGAGTCCATCCAAATACTCATATTTATCATTTGTCAATTGTCTGAGTTGAATCATCACTTCAGCTTCAAAAAATAAGCTAGGTTTTCCTTCACAACGTGGCATTGATGCAACATTGGAAAAAAAATGAAGGTTTCAACAAAAGAAATCAAAGATTTGGGATCAAGAGTATGTTTCAAAGATCTTACTGCCAACCGTCAACAAAAAAATTTGGGATACTCCAACAGCTCTTTTTTCAAGCACTCTTGCTTCCACCTCAAAAAAGTTTGTTTCTTAGAAGTCAACCAGTCTTTGTAAAGTCTTGTCATAGTAAGCCAATTATGAAGATCCAAGGATTTATCAACTAATTTTGCCCTTGCTTGTTTGCAATTTAAGTCAAACCATCCATTGGAAAAAAAAACCTCTAGCTCTCCAGTTCTTATGTCTCAAAAAGAACTTAGAAGTAGATTTTTTAAGCAACTTGGATAGTTGCAAACTCGATGTATGTGGATCAAGGCTCCAAGTAGTAAAAGTCAAAAGATCTTGTAAAAGTTGACTATAAAGTTACTTTTGACTAGGATCTAAATTAAATTTGGGAGAACTAGAAACATACTGACATGTAGAGAGAGTAATTGACTTTGACAATAAAAGAGTAAATAAAAGAGATGTATGATTTGATTCTGATTGAGGCTCTAGAATATCAAATGTTGAGATAAATAAACTGTTCGTGATAGAGGACAAAAGATAATCAATAGTGCTAACGTCGGTAGAAA